CTGGACATTCTTGTCGCAGGTCTTCCTGGGAAGATTGAAAGGTGGAGGCAAGTTCCATCAACTCTTTACTGTGACAGAGACAGATTAAATAATGAAGGAAGAATTTAATTCTTTAGTGAAGGATGGGAACTGTTTTCCAAGATGCGTTTAATTTTCTCTGCAATTACCCAAAGGTTGCTATTTCAGATAGATTCAGCAGGTATAGCTCAGGTTTACCCACCCACCCAGCCCCACCATCCCTCCAAACACTCCCAAAATTAAATCCCAGAGTAACAGGCACAATAACTACACAATCCATTTTCCTGGCCTAAATTCTGTAGTCATGTTAGGTAGTTGAACAAGCAGCAGTAACTTACGTTTTTCATGAAGGTTAGAGACTATGCTTGAGACCCTTCGAGGTATGCTAACGGTTCCAGATAAGTTTGAATAAATGCGTTCAAAACCCTCATTAAAGAATTTTTTTGCAAACCAATCCTCCATAAATCGTGCAGCAGCACCTTTGTTGTCACCACTAATCAATGAGTTTGTACGACTCATAGATGTTCCATGAGTTGCAAACCAGTTAAAGCTACCCACTGGGCCCCAATCATCGTCTACAAACTTTATGAGGGTCATTTCTTTATCCACATCATACTTATATTTACTCCGTTCTGCAGCAGGATTGTTGAGATAAGCACTAGGGCTACGGTTTACACCTGCATCTAAGAGCTCTCCTGCAAGATCATGATTATGCAATAACAAAATTTTAGTATGTATGAACAAAGTCTCAGACTGATATAGAGATTTATCGGAAACGTAAGTAGAACTGAACGCACATCAAATGCATCTTGTTCCAAACTATATTTCTCTTCTTTTTAAAATAAGTCCATCATGTTTCAACCTATCCAATTGAAAGGGCCTTGGTTCTGAACCCAAAAGTTCATATGAGGCTTTGTGAGGTTCCCGTCATGCGCTAACCATTACCATTAACTGATGCAAGACCATTAAGACATGCAAAAGTTTAAATGTAGATCTTGAAGTAAACATGCATGAATTGAAATGCTAGAAGAATAAGAGAACAGAGTAGATAACAGTATAACATCTAAGACATTAAAGGACCAATTAAAGTATTACCAACAGCTTTAAGCATTGTTTTTCATACTGGACAGTCTGGAGAGAATAACAACTCTGGCACCATAAACGATTAAATTATCCAAAAACTTGAATTCAGAAAATTTCTAAAAAGAAAAAAATGAGTTCCCCATAAGGTTTTTAATAAACTAGGTTTGGATATAGATTTATATTCCCCAAACTGAAAAAGAAAAAGCGTCTTCTGTCATGCATCATCTTCCTACTAACTGCCCTAGCTATTGGACTTCTTTTGGCTTCAAGTGGAAAGCAGGTAGTTAAAGTCTCCATTTGGAAGGTAACCTTGCCCAAAGGTGGTAGATTCTTGTTGCAACATGCAGAAAATATAAATGGAATTGTTAGTTACAAAAATTACCGCCATTCACAGAAATTGAGCCGGGACGAAGATTCTCATGAGCTTGTATAATGCTTTTCTCAATGCCGTCAACAATGACATCAAATGATTGGCGTACAAATCCAAGGGAAGTAACAATATACACAAGATATTGGAGATAGCCTCCTGGCCCAGCATGAGTGTGAATACCACTGATAGCGACATTTTGTTCATTGTACAGGTTACCATACCTTCAAAAAGACAAATGAAAGAGAAATTATTCAAACAACCTGAGTACTTGGAGTAGTCTAGCAATTGAATCTAATGATTGGAACCATGGAAAGTAAGGTAACAAGACATAAATTTCATGTCTAGGAGAATGTTGAAATTTGTTTCTTTTCTACAATTCCCAGATATTGTACCTTGTTACATTGGAATGACAGTAAAATTACAAAACTAAACATTATTTCCGTTGTTTAAGAAGTTGCACGCAGCTATTGCAGGTTACTTCGATCTACCACTGATGAATCAAAAGTTTAAGATGAAAGACAATAGAGATATCTACCTTGCCTTCAATCTTTCAAAAACTTTTATCGTAACAATTTGTGAGGCCATGCAGGCATCAAGGTTTACAAATACTACCCGGTTTCCTTGAGACTGGGACTCTGCCACAATAAAGGCACGAGCTCGCAACCTGAAGTGAACTCCAGATGCAATTTGTTCTATATTTGCATATCCCATCATATTGACATCTGCAGCAGGCCCTGTTATGTCATAGCTTCCAAGGCCAATCAAGTAATTGGATGCTGATGAAGCCCCTCCTCCACTTAGTAGTATGACTAATAGGAGACCACATGACCAGATAGACATTGTTGTAAACGGTCTTCGTACTAATGCATAGAGAGGAGGAAACATCTCCATTACGTTTCTCCAGAAAGATGGTAATTTCTCATATGAATCTTTCCATACTTTGCAAAGAAAAACGCAAATCGCACGAGTCAATTCTTCAACTCATACAAAGCAGATTATTGAAAGGCATGTGAATAATGGCATTCCAAACACTTAAAAGAGTATCATTTCAATACAACAAAAAAACACATATTTGCTATGATAAGATATATGTAAGGAATTTTTTCATGACCATCTTGACTTTTGAAACAAGATGCACTAAAATTTCCAGAAAGAGAGCAAGACCACCTTTTGTTCAGTATGTTCCTAAATTAGTTAAGGTAAGCACAATCACATAATCTAAAGAAAAGAAAAACAAATAGGCATCACCCAATCCATTTCACTTATGTAAACAAGCATCCAAAAACAGGTTGAAACTAACGAGATGACACTTTGCAATGTTCCAATCCTAACATTTGCAGAAGCTTCAAACCAAGTTTTTTTTCTTTTGTCTATTAACACCTTTTGTGATTGGCAAACCCAACAAAAATCCAAAATGCTGCCTTTTTCATACATTACTGAAAAAACCCAACTAGGATATAACAACAGGTCGTTCAAAATCAGTTTGCATCTATTTTCTTTAGATATTCACTAGAGCAATTATGATCAGGAAATCGATCCCGAGCAATTGTTTGGATCTATTATGATATGGTCATGACGCGCTCAACGGACCTTTTGTAATCTTAAAAAACCTTTTTTATACTTTGAATTGATGCAAAAACAACCTTTTTGTACAATCTAATGTATATTCATATCCCAATAAGAAGTTCTTAGATAGAGCTGCTTCATGTTTTACATAGAAGATATTACTCTACTCCAAATCACGCAACCAACCATTAGCCAAAAATCAAATCCAACATGCCGTCAAACAATGGCAACACCCCACCAAATATAACAAGTTCAAGAAAAACAGAAACACCCATCTGTATGTATGTAGGTATGTACGTATGTAGCTCTATTTGTGTGTTTGTGTATCTATCTATATATATATAAAACAATCGAATTAGGTGGGAGGGTTTCCTTTTTTCTTAGAATTTAGAATTTTTTAATTCAAAACTTATTACTCTTTCCATTCAGACGCTGACATTAGTAACTACCCATCAAGTCTTCAATAACTAACCAATATTTTTTAAAAAATTTCAAAAAAAAAAAAAACACTTTTTCTCATTCAAAAATTTTATAATACTATCATGTAATTGTGTCAATCACCATGAGCAAACTTCCCAAATTCGTCATCGTCTCCAGTTCACAAAATTTCAATCATAAAACACAAAATAATCACTATCACCATATATCCACCCACACAAACACACAGTCACACAGTGACTGAGTGATGAAGTACCTGTCAAGCGAGAGAAATGCAAGAGGATCATAACGCAAATACCTTCAACCCAGTTTCAGATTTAAGGCAACGAGGTGAGAGTGAATGATTTGGAGGCAGGCGACCACGAACATATGCAGTTGGAACGTTAGGTGAACTCTGTTGTCCTTGCCAAATTAACTTCGTGTGGTTAAAAAACACGAAGGGCAAGAAAGTCCAGTCTTCCACATAGACATTATACAGTAGTAGGAGTAGTAGTTCAAAATTATTCCGACACATGCCGTTAGAGAATGTCTCATCAGGTGTTGTGTAGTTCGATTAATCTCTCGGTTTATGGCGAAAAAAAATTCATTTATATCGGAATTAAAATATTTCTAAGAGATAAATATTTTATAATTAATCTCAAGAGTCATAAGCAGCCCAACATAAATAAGGGTCTTATGCAAAAATTTTTATATGGGCCCTATTAATATTTTATGGATTAATATATATATTATTTTTAATTATTATAATTTAATTACTTTTATTTATTTAAAATAAATTTTATCTTGTTTATTGAGATACAAAAATATTGATCAAGTTTTTATATTCAAGTTTTAACAATAAATCTTTCTCAATAGATAATATAGCTAATTCATTTAATCTTTTGATTTTATTAGTTTAAGTTTTGAAAAGCTTCGTTCTACTAAAGCAACTGTAGTTACCAGTATAACTAATAAAATTCTATTTAGAAAAGAATTAGTCTTTTTATGTACTTTAGTATTTCATTTGGAGTGTTGATCTCAATTTTTAAAACTTCTTTTAAAACTTTTAATTCTAAAAGTATATCTAAGCCATTTATATCCGTAAATACATCATGTTTTAGAAAAGTTTCAAATTTAAGAAAATGTTTTTACAAATTATCTTCATTTAAAGATTTTAATTTTTCACAACTAAATAAAAATCCAAAACTATTTTTATATGTTTTAAATTGTTCAAATCTTTTTTTTTTTAATTAAAGAAAGTGCTTGATCTACAACATATATAAAGTAATAATGTCACATCTCTTCTCCGTCTCCCACGGATGAGATGCGATTAGATTTTTAATATACATGTTTATAATTATTATAATCTGGACTAATTAAACATTAAATAATTCCACAAGTGTAACACCACCACCCATCACCTTAGTCACTAAGCATGATGGTAGAACCTGTCTCATAACCTGTATCATATATAAACACGGCAACAATTATGGACTTTAGTGACAAATTTTTTAGTGACCAAGTTATTTTCGTCATTAATGATACCTTTTTAGTGATGACATATGAAGTTGTCACTAATGGTCTAGGATGAGTGACAAAAACACTATTTGTCATAAAAAATTAACTTTTAGTGATGAATAATTATTTGTTGTTGTAACTTCATCACTAGAAGTGTAAGAAATTGGATAAATAGTGATGAATTTTATTATTGTCACTCAAAATGATAAACAATTACTTTTAACAATGAGATTAGTTGTCTCTGAAAGTTTCAAAGTTTTGGTGATAACTTTCATGTCTCACTAAAGCGCTAATGACTTTAGTGGTGACTTTGATGTCATCACTAGAACTTTTATAGTTTTAGTGACAACATTTGTGTCGTTATTAAAAATTTTATACTTTTAATGATGATTGTCATGTCGTCACTAAAATTTTTATATTTTTAGTAACTAAATTAATTATGTCACTAAAAATAATTTAGTTTATGTCACTACATTGGTGTTGTCAAGTGACTTATTTTATATTGTTTGGCAAATTTTAAATTATACCACATCACCTCTTAACCTGCAAAAATAAAAAACAAAACGCACTTATTATTTCTACACTAAACTACACCTTAATTAAGTTTGTTAACAAAATTCTGAAACATCCTTAATACATAAAAATAATAAAACCAAAATTTTATTTAATTTAAATATCAATACTTATGCCACAACCTAGTTATTATAGTGATTGTAAGACAAGTTGAAGAAAACTCGAGTTAAATCAAAATTTTTAAAACTCTCAAGCTGAGCTTAATTCGAAATTTTCAATGTCAGTCATGGTTTGAAATTGGATGATATGCGAGTAGTGGTAAAATTTGAATCAAAATCGACTTCAATTGAGGTTTGATTTTTGAGATAGATAACATGGATAGAAATTCAAGTTAAAATCCAATTTAATTGAAGTTTGAATCTCAAGTTACACAACTATGGCGTAAATTTGATTTCAATTGAATTGGATCCTAAAAAGTAGAGACATAAATTGAGTATTGTTTGATTTTAAATTGGATTGATAATTTTTTATTCGAACTTTGCTCAATATTGATTTTTTTTTTTTTGGGTTGGCCTGCGTTGGATTTTAAATTTGACCCATCAAATTTCACTTTTACACCAAGTTTCACCTTTCATGAACCATCACCAAATCCAAAGTGGTGTGACTCGAATTATATTGGGTTGTGTTCGGGTAATGTTATATCACGTTTGTGTTAAGTATTAGACAACCATAACTCGATCAGTTTAATTAATCGTGTTAAATATTTAAATACTAAATAGATAACCCATGAATTAATTGTGTCACTTTTGAGTTGACTTATATAATTCATGAATTAAAAATATTTTTTGGGCGCGTTAAAAAAACTTAGATTTTATTACACATCTATATAATGAGGGACAATAAAATTTGAATTCTCAACTTATAAAATTGTTTAAACGTTCTACATTGTTTCAAAATTATTAACTCAACAAAAAATATTGACCTTTAAAATTTTTTATTTTTGCGTCCGTCAATCATGCCATCTGATCCTAAATTTTTTATCACCTAAAATCTCTTTCATTATTTTTTTAATATCTTAATAATATAATCATATTCCCTATTTTTAAATCAAAATCCCTAAAACCCTATCAGCAAAACCCTCCCTTTTTTATTTCGGTATCACCAGGCGCAGCAACCAGTTTGACTCCCCCCTCCTCTGTCTATCCATCCCATAACACCCAGCAAAGCAAAATCTATTTCTCTGTCTTTTGCCTTTTCTTTTTTTTCCTTTCATTCACTCCTCACTTACAGGCCACCCATCTCAAAGTTTGGTAAAGTTAAAAGGTATGCTATTCTTTTGTCTTACATAGAATTGTTTTATTTTGATAATTTCTTTCGATCTTTTTGTCTTACAACATGTTGTTCTTGGGTGATTTGTCATTCAATTAATTAACAGGTTTGCTTACCCATTGAATTTCAGTATGTGTAGTGTACTTTTAATCTATTTTATTTGGTGAATGAGAATTCAAATTTTCAAGAATCAATAAGAACACCGTTTTGCTCGAATTGGTCATCAAATTCAACCTTTATCGTGAAATCTTGTAGATTAATTATGATCTTAGGAATTGTGCTTTGGTTTTTCATGCAACATCTCTTGACCATTAAAATAATTTTTGTTTTTAAGGCTTGAACACAAGTATTTTGTCAAGAAACTGAATTCACACATGCTCATATTATTATGTGAATCTGTGTTAGTTAGTTTGCTATTCTTTTAAAACATATTAGTTGTGGTCCAATGGCTCTATTGATAGGCCTTCGGGTTGGACCGTAGCTGAATTTTTTAGACTGCAATTTCCACATACCTTGACACTAGTCCATTTAGCATACTGGGCAGGGGCGAATCTAGCATTGAGGTAGTGGAGGAAACTGACCCGCTAAAATTTTGAAAAATTAGTGGGTTTAATTGAAATTTTAAAATAATTTAAGACTTGCCCCCACTAAAAAATTTAGGAAACAATTAGGGATAGTTTTAATTTTTCATTGAAGATGATAATTAGTCATCACTCACTATATATTTGTGATTCGGTATGTGACAGGTTTTAATGATTATTGTTCACGCTAAATTTTATATGAAAGATCTCAAATTTTTTTTTGTAAATTTGTTATGGTTACTATGAATTTCATTTGAAATTAATTTTTTAAATTTAAATTTCAAAATTTTATTGTGATGTATTAAAATTGTTTTGATTGATTACTTGAAAATTAAGTTTGTCTATTTTGTGATGAAATGAATTTTTTTTCAATTTTTTTGGAATAATTTTTTTTCTAATTAATTGGATTCATGTATTAGGAATTAGCTATTATGGATTACATTTTCGATTAAATTATTTCAATTAACTGGACTTTAGTAATTTTCTTTAATATAAAAATATCCTGTAAAAGAATTTTATTTGGAATAGCATTGAGCGAAGGAGGTTGAATATATACTAATAACCTGCTATAATAATCTCTTACAAATATAATATATAACTCAACAATTATTTATATCGACACTCAACCTAAGTGATATCACCCTAACATTGTACAAGACTCAATCGACTGGACAGTGGACCAGTTTGCATTCTCCTTTATAGTACCTAAAAAAAACTGCAGGGGTGTAAGCTAAATCACGCGCTCAGTGAGTATAAATGTCGTATATGCAATAAAAATGATAGTAATACACTGAAATATGTAGATATTATGTAGGTACACGTATTAAACAACAGCATCAAACCAATTCTAATGAATTCACAAGCCACATCACATCCATACTACCCCTCATCGGGTAATCGATCTCACATGGATCCGTGTCTCTCGAACCTTCCGATAACACCACAGTTCTAGCATATCATTGCACGCCTAGAGATCAAGCATCGACGCCCCTGTCTCAAACAGTGCGCCACATTTCACAATACATAGTACAAAACATCAGTCAATCATATATGCACATATCACATAATCCTGGAGAATTGTTATTAAATTATATCATTTAATATCATCTTATAATAACATTTTTAAAATATATAAAGATATACACCCACCTTAGATGTACAAATCTATGACTCTTCGGTCTTATCGGTGGATCCTTTTGGTGTCACCGTATCTGTTTCAATATCGACTATCTCACTCGTTTCACCTAACACATTTGTAATTACAATATCAATATATTTATTACATTTAATAGTTAATACTGCACTAATGCATGCAAATGATGCATCCCAAAATGCCCCCATAACCCTGGTTACCGCACTATCCACTCACACACTAGCAGTTTTGTTCTAGGGATCTCATTTTTTCTCCAAATTTTCAAAATCACTCACATTAATC